CAACTTTCAGCGAAGAAATCATCCCTGCAACTCCCCCAAGTCCAAACGATCGCAGAAAGAGAATCTACCGACCCCCAACTCCGTCGCAGATCTCGACCCCAAGCTCCTTCGGAGATGAATCTGAGCCGGATGAAGACCTGAGCACTTACAGGACAGAATCTGAAATGGATACCCAGGAAATGGCCAAAAAAAATTAGGCCTCCAGCAATGTGATTCCGGCAAGGTTTCTGGTAGAGAATGGAACAGCACAAGAGATAAGGGAGTTGACCAGGTGACATCAGGAACAAAGAAAATTCTGAAAAAGGGACCGAATAGGGAATTAAAGAGGCTACAATGGGGTATAGCTGATCAAAATTCAGAATATGCAGGAGAAGGGAGTAGAAGAAAAGGTAAGGGTAAGATCATCAGAGGTTAAGATGAAAGTCCTGAGCTGGAATGTAAGGGGGTTGGGTGGAGAAATAAAGGGAAGCTTAGTAAAAGATACTTTCCGAAGAGAGAATCCTGACATTATTCTGATACAAGAAACCAAAAAGGAAGAGGTGGACAGAAAGTTAATCAGAGCAATCTGGGGTTTAAGAGGCAGAAAATGGGCTACACTCCCAGCCATAGGCACTTCAGGAGGAATCCTTGTCATGTGGAGAGAAGATGTGGTTTCAGGAGTGGAAGTTGATAGAGGTGAATTCTCTCTTTCRCTGCTTTTCACAAACAAGTCAGATGATTTTACCTGGATCCTAACAGCAGTTTATGGCCCTAATGATCCATCAAATAGGAGTAGATTTTGGGAAGAGCTGGACTCACTGCATGAACATGATGAGATTCCATGGGTTGTGGGAGGAGACTTCAATGTCACGAGATTCAGTCAAGAACATTCGAATGGGAAGAGGGTAAATAGAAGCATGAGAGAGTTCTCCAACTTCATATCCAGACACAGGCTGCATGACCTCCCCCTAAGGAATGGTAACTTTACCTGGTGGAACATGCAGGAGAATGCCATAAGTTGTAGGCTTGACAGATTCTTAATTACTTCAGATTGGGAAGCTCATTACCCCCTAACCTTTCAGGAGATCCGCTCCCGATGTACTTCGGACCACTGGCCTATCACCTTAAGTACAGATTTGGTGATCAGAGGAAAAACCCCTTTTAGGCTGGAAAAATTCTGGATGGATCACAAAGATTTCTGCAAAAAGGTTGCCTCATGGTGGGAGGAATGCAAGACAGAAGGTTGGCCAGGGTACAGATTTCTGGAAAAATTTAAATATGTAAAAAGGAAGCTAAAAGGATGGGCCAAAGAGGAATTTAAAGCCTTCAAGGAAGAGAAATCAGCAATCTTATCCGAATTGGATGATTTAAACCAAAAGGAGCAGAGTAGGCACCTAAATGAGAACGAAAGAAGGAGAAGATTCGAGCTAAGAAAAGAATGGGAGCAGGTAGTAAGAAGAGAAGAAGTTTACTGGAGACAGTGATCTAGGGTCAGATGGTTAAAGGAGGGGGACAATAACTCCAGGTTCTTTCACATATATGCATCTGGGAGGCGGAAAAGAAATCTTATAACAAAATTAAAAATTGGGCAACGAAAAGTGGAGGACCCTGAGGAAATTTCTGAAGCTTTCTTATACTTCTTTAAAGATCTTTACTCAAAGAAAGAAAACAGAAAACTCTCCATAAGCTTTTGGGAAGGGTTTAAACTGTCGGAGGAGAATAGTCTGTAATTAGAAAGAGAGTTTCAAGATCAAGAAGTAAAGGATGCTGTCTTTAGCATGGATGGAGATAGAGCCCTGGGCCCTGATGGTTTCCCAATTCTATTTTATCAGATTTGTTGGAGCATAATTAGTTCAGATTTGATGCAGGTGTTTAATGATTTCTATTATTCAGCCATTGTCAACAAAGGAAACAATTCTAATTTCATATGCTTGATTCCCAAGAGAAAGGATACTTTAGAAGCAAAAGATTTCAGACCTATCAGCTTGACTGGGAGTGTATACAAAATTTTAGCAAAGGTTCTAGCCAAAAGACTAAAAAAAGTCCTAGGGGGAATCATTTCCCCAAATCAGTTTGCATTTGTCAAAGGGCGACAAATCATTGACAGCATCCTAATAGAAAACGAATGCGTTGAAAAGAGGAAGATGAATGGCAAACCAGGGGTGATTGTGAAACTCGGTTTGGAAAAAGCATACGACAAAGTAGATTGGGAGTGTCTCACAGAAATAATGAGATTAATGGGATTTGGAAACAAGTGGGTTTAGTGGGTTGAGGGATGTATAAGCTCCACCTGGCTCTCAGTTCTAATAAACGGGCAACCAAAAGGATATTTTAATGCTAGCAGAGGATTAAGACAAGGCTGCCCCCTCTCCCCATTGCTCTTTACTCTAGTCACAGAAATCTTTAGCCAACTGGTGAATAAGGCTATCTCTCTTGGTCTTTTGAGAGGTTTTGAAGTCGGATGGGA